CATTGGTGTTTTATTGGTTTCACCGGGAATCATTTGCGTCTTATTGGTTTCACCGGGAATCATTGGTGTCATTAGTTTCACTAGGAATCATTGGTTCTTATTGGTTTCACTGGGAATCATTGGTGTCTTATTGGTTTCACTGGGAATCATTGGTGTCATTAGTTTCACTAGGAATCATTGGTGTCTTATTGGTTTCACCGGGAATCATTTGCGTCTTATTGGTTTCACCGGGAATCATTGGTGTCATTAGTTTCACTAGGAATCATTGGTGTCTTATTGGTTTCACTGGGAATCATTTGCGTCTTATTGGTTTCACCGGGAATCATTGGTGTCATTAGTTTCACTAGGAATCATTGGTGTCTTATTGGTTTCACTGGGAATCATTGGTGTCTTATTGGTTTCACCGGGAATTATTGGTGTCATTAGTTTCACTAGGAATCATTGGTTCTTATTGGTTTCACCGGGAATCATTTGCGTCTTATTGGTTTCACCGGGAATCATTGGTGTCATTAGTTTCACTAGGAATCATTGGTTCTTATTGGTTTCACTGGGAATCATTGGTGTAATACTAGTTTCACCGGGAATCATTGGTGTAATACTAGTTTCACCGGGAATCATTGGTGTCATTAGTTTCACTAGGAATCATTGGTTCTTATGGTTTCACCGGGAATCATTTGCGTCTTATTGGTTTCACCGGGAATCATTGGTGTCATTAGTTTCACTAGGAATCATTGGTGTCTTATTGGTTTCACTGGGAATCATTGGTGTCTTATTGGTTTCACCGGGAATCATTGGTGTCATTAGTTTCACTAGGAATCATTGGTTCTTATTGGTTTCACCAGGAATCATTTGCGTCTTATTGGTTTCACCGGGAATCATTGGTGTCATTAGTTTCACTAGGAATCATTGGTTCTTATTGGTTTCACTGGGAATCATTGGTTCTTATTGGTTTCACTGGGAATCATTGGTGTCTTATTGGTTTCACCGGGAATCATTGGTGTCTTATTGGTTTCACTCGGAATCATTGATGTCTTATTGGTCTCACTCGGAATCATTGGTGTCTAGTTTGTTTCACCGGGAATCATTGGTGTCTTATTGGTTTCACTGACAATCATTGGTGTATTATTGGTTTCACTGGGAATCATTGGTGTCTTATTGGTTTCACTGGGAATCATTGGTGTATTATTGGTTTCACTGACAATCATTGGTGTATTATTGGTTTCACTGGGAATCATTGGTGTATTATTGGTTTCACTGGGAATCATTGGTGTATTATTGGTTTCACTGGGAATCATTGGTGTATTATTGGTTTCACTGGGAATCATTGGTGTCTTATTGGTTTCACT